GCATGGATTTAGAAAAGGTAGGTCTTGCTTAATTAATCCCTCAAATTATTTGAACAAGCAACACCAGTAAAGGATACTCAAATAATTTATAATTTGTTGTATTTAGATTTTCAGAAGGCTTTTCATTAAGATCATCTTAAAAAATATATGTAGACAAGTTTAATGTAGACAAAAGCAGTTTTTTATGTGGGTTGTAAAAATACATTTTACACCGTATGAAGCACTGGGCTCTGAAGAAGTGCTATTATTGACATTTTTTTGTAGATAACATTAATATAAAGGTAAAGAAACGGTCTACTTCCATGTATGACCATTCTGATGTTCTTAAATGTCAGCAAAAATAGAAAGAAAACTCAAAAACTAAAATAAGATGATTGCATAAATATTCACCCCTTTGCTTCTGCGAACCTAAATTGGTCCAGGTGCTCAGAATTACATTGACAAGTTACACAGTTAGTTGAAGTGTCTCAGCTGTGCATAATAATAGTGGTTAAGATTGTTTTTACAATAAATACACCTGTGTCTTTCTACCAGCAAGGCTATGACATACTTAAGTATTAAGTATTCAAAAGAGTTTAAAAAATAACCTTTCTCTTGCCTTGTAGATCAAACCATTAGGTGGTCAGAAATGATTTGTGAGTCATTGCCTTTCTCTGTTTGTGTCACAAGGCCCAGTCATGTCTACAGTTAGTTTATGATACAGCTGTAAGGGAGTTAACAAAATCAAAGATAAAAAACAATTTACTACTGTGTTAGCTTCACTGCTGGTACATTACAAATTTAATTGGTAAAGCACTTACCATAAAGGTCCCTGATTACCTGCAGTAACTGAGATGGTACAGTAGCTCTATGCTAGTGAGCCAGCATGCACACTGAGGCCAGGTGACAGGGGCCTACACTACTTTGTGGCCCAACAGTTGAACTAAAAAGACAAAATGAGAAAGATGCGTTTGTGTTTTGGGATTCACTACCATAATTTGAGATGTACTATCTCTATTTTTAAATAAAGTCTTGTGTCAGTCACAAAATATTTTTTCAAATGTTAATTTAATTTTAATAAACATTCTGACATATTCATCCTGGTAAGTTTCAAGTAACATTATTGTACCTTTCAGAAAATGTTACAGTACATTGGTTGATTAGATCTGCTTTTTCAATTACATTATCTACCCCTCCACCACCACCAATGTGCAGCCCCACCTGGATGATGTGACGGCAGCCATAGTGCGCAAGAACGCTCACCACAAATCAGCTATCAGTGGGGAGGAGAGCAGAGTGATAAACCCAATTCATAGATGCCACAAAACGAATGGGAACCTATTTTCCTATTCTAGAAATACACCCAATAACCAAGAGAGGCCAATTTTGAACCAATGGATTCTTTATACAGGAGACAAGAGTTCCCTAAATACCACTCTCCCTAAATGGCTCTCTGGCCAAAGTTGAAATATTTCTTCACGATTGCTTTGATCACTGAATCTGGGACCCCTCCATCTCAGAAAACATCGCTATGCTGCGAAGCTGGAAATGTTGACAATAGCCAGGTGTCCCCATTCTATCTAGATTCACATCATAACAATATATTTTGATATTACATTTTTATTAATGAACATGGAAGTAGGGCTATTATTGACATTAAAATAAGTATGAGTGGCATGCACATTTGTAAATTTCAGTGCGTGAGCTAACTCTTCACACGCACCTTCTGAAAGGTTCCAACCCCTGGCTTAAGACATCACAGGGACACTTCCAGCCCTCATAATGAGACCTTAAACTTGGCAGAGCAGACTTGATTTTCTCATTTCATGCATGTGTTTCTTAGTTGTTAATGGGTACATGTTAGTCAAATATCTTGTGTATTTTTTGTCTTTTTTCTGCCTGCAAAACAAATTTCCCAATTCGGACAATAAAGGAATTAAGTTAGACTTAGTGCAAAATGTTTTTTTTTGTATACAGCTCCATATCTAAGTACATCCATACATTTAAAGGGTCATGTAATGTTTTAGAGAGGTAGCGAAAGGCTCAGGCATCGTCTTACTCCCACCCTGCCCACTATTAGACTGAGAGAAAACAGGATAGAGGGGAGCATAGTTTAGAATGGCCGGGACTGAAGAGGATACCAAAGATCATTGAAGAAGTACTGTACACCGAGTTTCATCTCTTTCTGTACTGTGGGGCAGGGGGCACACCAGGACACTGACTGGACCTGTTTTTGGAGAATGGTAATGCTGGACTCATCCTGTGGGACACTGGTTTTTGGATTGCTACGGTTCATGGGTGTTTCTGTGTTTCTGTAGCGCAAGTCACTCTCTCCCTCGGAAGGTGCCTCTGGTGGTGTTAGGTTAAAATGTGTTAGTATTCCTAATACTAACTGTTGAGCTGTTGTTGTTGATCGGGGGGTCAGAGGTTAAGGCACTGTGGCGACGTTTGAGTGGAAAGGAGATTATGTTCCTGTAAAGGGCGTAAACAAAAAGAAATAAAGCCATCCCCATTTGAACCAGTTATACATGACAGTTATTTAACCCATATGAACTGATTACTCAATACTCTTATCTATGTACTGTAAGATAACTGTCTTGTCCGGTCTGTGGAAGATATACAGTATAAAGAACCTGCTGCCAGGAAAAAGGGTCCTACAGCCCTTAAGATAGCTAGGTGGTATAATCAGCTACAGGTTAAGTTAAAGTCATATCCATGACAGATACACTAGCAGTAGAAAATTTGCAAAAATCCCATTCTTTGATGTTTTACTTCCTTTGGTACTGTCATTTTTTGGCAGAAACTATCCTAAAAAGTATATACTGTAGCATGAATAATCAACTATAGAATAATAACTATCATTTAAATAATAGTAAAACTATTAATAAGAATAATGTAATTTAAAACAATTTAAAAATATGTCATTTTGTTTAGTAATTGACCCGTTTGCTGTATTTCCCTTTTTTTCTATGGTGACTTTCCATGTGCCTATACTGTACATCTCCCAAATACAATTGTCGTGCGTTTATATCTGAATCTTAGTGACACGTTTAAAAAAAGGACTCGCTTTTCTGTGCGACTATACGGTATTCCGCCACGTATTTGAAAGTGCCGTTGGGTATTGGTCGGCTGGTGGGAAGTGGTGTTTGCTTAAAGTCGTATGGTAGCATTGTAATAACATATAAGGGAAATACTATACTATATTATAGCTTCATCAGTACCGAGGGATCAGCCAAGTCAAAAGAGTTGCTGACAGCTCCCATACGTTAAATAATGGGTGCAGATATGATGCTTAATTTTGCGAACTTTAGCACTTTGTTTGTATGTATGGTACTTAAATTCCCACAAATCATTATGCTCATTTCATCAAAATCAACCAAAGGTATTAGCGTGAAAAGCCTCCTACTAGAACTAACAGGGTAAGGTTTCTCTTTTCTACAGAACGTCTAGCAGTGCTGTTGGGAGAAAATTATATATATTTTATAAAGATTAATCTTGAGAGTTGGTTCTCCAGCGAAACAGTTTTCTATGTAAATATAGAAAAAAAACTTCCTCGTCCTCTTTGGCTTCGATCTATCGGTGTTATTTAGCTAGCTAATATTTTTTTTAACTGTTCGACGAGCTGCTGTATTTGAATTTCAGATTTGTTGTGTTACTTTATTTTTCATGCATTAACACCAGAGAAGTAGTGTAATTACCTAAGTCACATATTTCCTGGTGTGTAGTAACCGCCCTGTAAAAATTGTAATGTTTAGACGAAATATGGGTCAGCATTGGATTAAACTAAACTAGCCTGCGTTATTAAATTTTAAGGAGCTAATCGACGATCACCAAAATAGACAGAAACGCAAAGTATTTTTATATTAGGTGGAAAATAGTGTTGAATTGTTTTTTTTGTTCCATTAATTAGGTGGGTTTGTTTCATTTAAGAAGAGTTCAATAATTTAGGTTCAATTAAATCGAATGCGACTTTACTCCAGAACAGAACACTCAGTACAGTATGCACCTAGTCACAGTTTAGATTTAAACGCATTTGTTACCCGTAATGCAGAAATCGAGATGTGTGAGGATACGTCACTTTGCATTCATACCAGTCAAAGTGTAATTGTTTCTGTTTAATCCCAAAATAAGCAGGACACGTGGAGGTTGTTCATAAAGTATGTATAAAAATAATCCTTGTTTTTGCCGCCCTAGATGCACTTGCATGCAATGAATTCTTAGTAATGACTTGCTAGTTTTTTGTGGTTTTCTTTAACCATACCGTACGTGCCTTGGTAAGTTTCATTATAAAACTGCATCACAGACCCTAACAGAAATCGGCTTCTTGAAATTGCTCGATGTTGATGTGTGTTAGTCGAGTGAATAGACGTTCCTTTGCCCAAAGTTTTTTTTCTATGTGCTCTTTTGTTTATTCTTTGTAGTGCTGAAGTGGTGGGCTTTATTGTCAAAGCTTTGAGAGTCCCCATTAAACTCAACAAAAGTTGTCTGCTTGTGTATTCAGTCATAATGGTCATGTTAAAAAATGATCGAGACAAGTGAAAATTTATAAACTAGTTTGAGCAGTAAAAGGCAAAAACAGTGATTGCCCTGGCATTTGTTGTAGCTCCATTGACATAATCTGCATTACAAAATTGGGTTTCCAATTCTGGTGTTCAGATTGTACTGTTGTGTGTAGTGACCCCCTTTTTAACACTTTATTAAATTGTAAATAACCCCTTACCCGTATGTTTTTATATAGTGACTTGTTTAAAGGTTTAAAGTTAAGGTAAAGGTGTTTAGTGTTGTCTTGTTTGTACAAGAAAACCCACAAATGTTCTGAAGAAATCTTGCAATGAAACAGATTTAAATAGGAATAGTTTAGCATTAATCACATAATTGATCATGCATACAGAATTTCTAAATCTGAATATATGGGGATTGCCAAAGCATCATGTTTTTGAAAAATTGCTAAGCAAAACACTACAAAATGCAATCGCACGAGCATGTTGCTTTGATAAAAGCACTGATATGTGGATGCAGTGTTTTGTACAAATTAATTTCACACTTGTTTGTCTGAATTATCTGTAACACCTGATATGTGTTATTTGTTTTTAAAATCTGTTGGCCTAGTTAGGTTTAGCTTCTGTATAGGCTGAGCAGGGATACATTTCTTTACAGTTCAGCAACATTTCTTCAAATTGGAATCATTTCATGCTGCTTGAGTTGATAAAGATTATGCATGTGTTTTGTTTAGCCTTCCTGTGATTAGATTACATTTTGTAGCATTTTCTGTCCATTCAAATAGTTGTGGTGGCATATTGTACTTGTTCTACAAGAACTTTTAGTTATATAAAATCTAGTAGTTTCCTATAATTGTAATGTAATTTGTAACACTTATCTATAGAATTGCCCTGCGTTGTTGCCAGTACTGAACTGACTGCACATAACTTTACAACAACTAACTGTACTGGACATGAAAATAAATATATTGCAAGAAATTCCTCTTTTTTGTAGCAGGAACGCTTGCCTTTTATTGAACAGGTGTGGCAGGCCAATACATGATGCTGATTAATATTAGTCATTAACATCGTTGATTAACAGAGCGTCTACAGTGAAAGTCACAAGCTAGTAGCATGTGTGGTCACTGTTGCACTGTTGGAAGCTATACGTCTGGGATGCCTGCTTTTCATTAGGTTGCAGGTGCTGTCTTCAGTCTTGTGAGCTTCTGACCACTGGTCTGTGACCTCTAGATGCCACCAATCACCCCATCTTATCCCACAAATGGGGATCAAGGCACGCAGCCTATGCAGAGTATTACTGCATTATTCTCATTCTGAGCAAACCATGAAGATGTGGTTTGTCCTACTGGGGTGTTGTTACCTGTCTATAATCCTGCAGGGTGGGCAGCAATTGATGACCATACTTGATCGATGTAGCATCATGTGGTTTGATTGCCATCAATTTGCAAATGGATTACTAGACAATCTTGCCCAAATCATCACATGGGACCGCTCTATTCTCTACAATAAATAGCACATTCTGCACATCTCCTCCATTTAAGGGAACATCTAGTCACTGCTGGCCAGTCCACCTGAGGTCTTGCTCACAAAACCTCATTCTTTTGCGCCGCACAGCAACTTCCCAGTGAGCACTGGGCTCCAGCGCTGTCCACTGGTCAGCCAGCAATGACTGGCTGCTTCCTCTAAGTTGAGCTGCTGATGCATGTGGTGCTGTGGCCTGGCAGTTCTGAGTCTGTGGGGGCAGCACTGTGGGAACTGTCTGAAAGATGGAACAGTATGTGTTGATGTTGGTCGATGTGTGGTGGTCCGTGATCACAGCCTGTCTGATGGACGCGTTTGAAAATGCTGCCTGGGTTGCTCGCAGCCAGCATGCAACAGTGTGCACGATGTTGAAGGCTTAGTCAACCCTCTAAATAAGCACAAGAACATAACAATGCTCGCAAACAAGAGGAGGCCATTCAGTCTGTGTTTGTTCTCTTGATAAGCGGAACATATCGGTTTTTTTCCACCCTTTTTTTAAAATTTTGTTTTTACCAGCCTGGACTTTCAGTAGGTTAAATCGCCTCAATACCTAAGCCCAGCCAACTCCCATTCTCTAACTAATGAGGTTTAGTGCTCATGCAGCAAACACAAAAGTATTTTCTAAAAGCATACATGCAGAGTGATATTTTCTTTTGATGTATAGTAGAGTTTGTGCTACGAAGAGATTTTATCTTTATTTTCAAAACACCACCCATCAAACTAACTTGATTCATCATCCAGTTAGTTTAAAGCTGTATTTATCTTATATTAATGAATATTAAAAATAATGTAGATTATGTCTGTGTTCTCTGGGGTACCACTAGCGTAAACACTTGAATGTGAAAGAATTACCTCGCTTGTAAAACGTTCTTTTTTTATTTTAGATTCATTGTGTTTATCTTATACCAGATGTATTATGACTATCCACCAGCCACATACTTGGAATATCCCATTCTCATTGCTCAAGGTATGGTCTGAAACCTCTGTCTGCTTGATAGCTCTTAAAGTTAAAGTGTTCAGTTTTTACCAGAAACATGGGCATGTTTAGTGTGAGGGTTAATGGTTGCGTTTATTGCCATTTTAATCCCAAAGAGTAAAGAGACATTGCATATTAAATACTTACAGTATGTTCCCCAATAAAAAAAAAAGTCTTTAAGAATTTTTTTCCAAGAAACCTGAAATAATATTATTTTTTTTATTTATTTAATAGGCATTTTCTGGTTGTCTTGAACTTCATTATTCACTATGCTTGACTCTGGTATGCCTCGCTATTCTGTTTAAGGATGGCATGAGGAACCGAGAAAAAGTGCAGGCATTTAAAAACAAGGAACAAAGTACACTGGGGGATGATCCTCAGATCAGTTAGCTACTAGTGAACAAATGGGTAGATGGGCTGAATGACCTTTTATTTTGACATGTTTTGTTTTTAGAATTTTATGTTTCATGTCCTTCAGATTTCTTGTTGTCTAATGGAGATTTGTTTTTCAGATGTGATCCTCCTGCTAATAATTTTCTACTATAATGGAAACCTGAAGCAGAGTCTGCTCTATGCAGGACTGTATCCTCCATGTACCTTCAGCATACTGAATGGGATGCCGTACAGCCCAGTACAGTCCAGTTTTTCAATAAGAGAAATTGTAGTTAAAAACATTAAAGGTCTTAGCAGTGTTTCTATGATAATACATTGAATAATTTTTAAATAAAATGTTAGCATACTGTACTGGTAGCCAGCAGCCGTATCACCCTACAACTCCCAACTGGCAACCCACTGAAGCTAAGCAGGTGTGAGCCTGGTCAGTACCTGGATAGGAGACCTCCTGGGGAAAAACTAAGTTTGCTGGTAGAAGAGGTGTTAGTGGGGCCAGCAGGGGGCGCTCACCCTGCAGTCCATGTGGGTCCTAATGCCCCAGTATAGTGATGGGGACACTATACTGTAAATAGGCGCCGTCCTTCTGATGAGACGTAAAACCGAGGTCCTGACTCTCAATGGTCATTAAGAATGCCCGGGCATTTATCGAAAAGAGCAGGGGTGTAACCCCAGTGTCCTGGCCAAATTTCCCATTGGCCCTTACCAATCATGGCCTCCTAATAATTCCCGTCTATGAATTGGCTTCATTACTCTGCTCTCCTCCCCACTGATAGCTGGTGTGTGGTGAGCGTTCTGGCGCACTATGGCT